TTTGCAGCCAGCCTGGGCTCTGGGCAGCTGCAGCAGGCAGGCTGCAAATGGCTGCACTGGACTCCACAGCTCCATGCTGGCAGCGACTGTGTGCGCACCTTGGGGCACACAGCAGGGTAGTGCTGCCCGCCCAGAGGTGCGTGCAGTTGCCACCAGCATGGAGTTGATGCCGGAGCTGTGGAGCCGGGTGCAGCTGTTTGCAGCCTGCCTGCTGCAGCTGCCCAGAGCCCAGGCTGGCTACAAACAGCTGCACTGGGCTCTGGAGCACAGTCATCAGCTCTGTGCTGGGAGCGGGGAAGAGACCAGGGTTGCGCTGCCTCAGGCCCATCCCCCACCGCCCGCTCCAAGGCGTGCCTGCATGCGGCGGTACAGAGCTAATGCCAGGGCTCTGGAGCCTGGCGCAGCTGTTTGCAGCCTCCTGGCTGCAGCCAGCCCTGGCTCTGGGTAGCTGCTGCCAGCCTGGAGCCTGGGCTGCTCCCAGCAGGCAGCTGGGATGCTGCAAACCCTGCCAGGAGCAGCCTGGGCTCTGTCACTGGCAGCAGCTACCCAGAGCTGGGGCTGGCCATGGCATGCCAAGGAAAATGCTGGGAGTTGCTGACCCCTGGCCTAGATGATCGTCGACCAGTGGCTATCCAACCTCTTCCTGAACACCTTCACTGATGGGGAGCCCGCAATTCCCCCAGGCAGGCGATTCCACTGCCTCGCTATTCTAACAGTGAAGACTTTTTTCTGGATATCCAATCAAAACTTACTTTGCTATAATTTTAAGCCATTGGTCTGCATCCTCCTCCCTGCAGCAAGAGAAAAGGTGCTTTCCCCCTTTTTATGACAGCCCTTCAAGTATTTGAAGACTGTTATGTTTCCCCTTAAGTGCCTTTTCTGCAAGGTGAACATGTAGCTCCTTTACCCTCTCCTCGTACGACTTGCCTTCCAAGCCTTTTATCACCTTTAGTTCCTGTCTGGACTCTCTCTGACTTCTCCACGTCTTTTTTACAATGTGGAACAATAAACTGTGAGGCTGGATCAGGCCCACCAGACAGATCCAGCCTGCAGAAGACCTGCCCAAACAAGCCACAAGGCAAAAACACTGAGCACCACTGTTCTACAGAGATTTTTCCAATGTGTCTGGTCCTTTCAGAAGCTGGCAAACCAACATATTTGGTTATAAAATATGTGGTTATAATAATATAATGCCTGTTAATTGCATATAATGCAGGTTTTTAGATTGGCCTTGGAGAAGTCCAGGTATGCATTATATCAAAACAGGACTGATCAAAGCAACTGTAACCTTGTAAAAAAAAAACAAAAGGACAACAGGTTAATCTGATAAGACCTCCCTTCCATGAAACTGCTCTGTTGTTTTACCTGGGACTGATACTAGGCTAGTAAGCCTGTTCCCTGGGTCTTTTTCACATTTTTAAGTACTAGAACTACACTACTGCTCACTTTAGAATTTTCCCAGTTTTCCAAAATTTGTTGAACGGCTTAACAGTGATCCAAAGGACTCCTCAGCTAGTTACTTTAGGACTCTTGGGTAAGAGTTATCCAGGCCTGTTGCTTTGAAAACTTAATTTAAACAGATACTGCCTCATGAATTTTTTTAGTAGATGTAAACTTACTAGTTTGTTGTTACCACGTAGCATGAATGCAGCTTCCTGCTACACTCCACATATTTTCCATATTTCCAGGGAAATGTACCATGGTTGTTAGTAGCACCTCCTCTTTTTCTCTCTTGACCTGTCAACTCATGTTCATGCCATTTAAACCTCTCCAGGTTGACCAGTTCTTTGCACCTGTGGGAACATGGTTGATGATGTCAGTGTGCATTTTTACTTCCTTGTTGAGTGCATCAAGCTGTGCAGCCCATATTTCCAGTTGTCTAGTTGTAGGTGATTTCTTTTAAGCAGTTCTGTTGCAACTAAAAAGTTTTTCATGTCATTTCAGGCTGCAGTTTAGCCATGTCTGGTATCTTCAGCCTGTCGGTATCATTCCATTTTGCTTGCGACCACCCTCTTCAAGTCTAGCGGAACGATTGTCTAAGCACATACAGACTGTTTGTTAACACTTGTTGGTTTTAGACATCCCACAGTACAGTGACACCTATCATTCAGCACAGGATCCAGTTTCTCTGTGTGAGCCTCTTTCTCAAACTGGGCATGCAGACAGTCACAAATAATGAAGTGTGAATGCAGTGGCTCCCCACTTTAAACATGCAGGCTTTCTCCCCATCTGGTTCCAATCACTAGCTTTGCCTTTTTGTTGTCTCCACTTGTGCCTTTAAGGAGAGCCTGGAATCTAGGCTCCCCTCAAGGTGGACAGGATTCCAGCGACTGGCAAGTGGTGCCTCATTCCTGACGGTGGCAAGTTGTCTGTTGGCATCATAGTTCCAGAAATGGAAAAGACTCACTTGTATCTTAGGTTATTATGTAACTGGTTCTGAGTTAGACTGAGAACCCGGAGAGTATTGTTAATTAGTGTGGCATTGTTCTAGGCAAGAACCTTGGTTTACTCAGCGATGCATTGATTGCTGACAAAAAAAATTTTTTGTGCTGGAATGAATTGGTTGGGATTTAATGTAGGTGTTTAAGAGTAGTCCCCTTTTGTATAGTAGGCCATTTGTTGTCACCACCACTGGCTCCATTTTCTATATAGTTCAATCTAAAATTGTCAGTTCCCTAGTGAGAGTATTTGTATCTGGCATGTAAGTGGAGATGTTTTATCACATTGTGTATTTTTGTGAGGAGCCTCTGGTGATTCATTATATTTTATGCTGTTGGCAAGTCAGCAAACACAGCACAAGCTACCAAATCCTTTTCAAAGCTCTCTTTGATATACTGAGCAAGGTTCAACACTTGACTGGTGCGTGGCCTGCCTGGGCAGAATCCAGTTTGCTCTGGGATTAGCACTTTTCAACACATGGCACTAGGCAGGTTTACAATGAGATGCTTGTATATAGTAATGATATGAGCCTGCAGCTCTTTCAGATTTGATGTATCTGACCCTGGCTACAGAAGTGCCACAAGGGATCGTTGCTGCCAGTACTTTGCAAGCATATATTAAACGGTGAGAGTGACTAGTCTCTTCTTGTTGGTCTGAAGCATTTACTCTGCTCAGTGCAAATACCCTGTAAACCAGCAGATCTGTCACTCACAGCAGTGTTAAACCTCGAGTCTAGTTCAGACACTTACTGTGCCCCAGAAATATTAGTCTCCTGATTTTCCTGCTGCTTATGCCATGTCTTGGGTTGCTTATTCAGTGCCCTGCCATCACCTCTTCCACAAGTTTTGTTTTGTTTTTTTGTTTGTTTGTTTGTTTTATTCCTTTTGCCTCTAGACCAATACAACTACAACCTGGATACCTGCCATTTTCTAGGAGGTTTAGTTTTACTGCCTGGTTAGCTATAGGGTTTGGATAGGGATGATCCTGCCTCAGGAAGGGGGGTGGACTTGATGACCTGTGGAGATCCCTTCCATGTTATGAAAACAAGGGTCTTAACACTATGGGCTTTTTTTTTTTAAGAAAGTTGCCACCTTCCAAAAAGAAGCTTCACACAACTGTGAACAGCTACAGCTTTTTGGAAGTTTGGCTGGCAAATTTTGGGGTCTTTCGGGTTCCCCCTGCAAATGAATGTGTTTATCGAAGTGAGATTGTTTCTCTCATTCACAGGATGGGGCCTGTCCTCTCAGCATCAGTCGAACTGTGGAATGCAGCAACAGTAAATCAAAGACTGAGTTGGGTGTTTCAAGAGTTAAATCTTTTCTTCCTGTACCCAGAAGTAAGGTCACCCAGTCTTCTCAGAACACTAAAAGAAGCAGCAGCAGTAATACAAGGCAAATAGAGCTCGATCATAGCAACTCAAATGGAGAGATTTGGAACCTGCACAAAAAGAACAACAAATCAAAAATCTAACAAAAAGACCTGCCTACCATCCAATTTTTTTCAGTGTTTACATAATCTCCATCATAAAGTACAAGAACATGTAAATAGTTTTTAAAACAAAACTTTTACCTTGTAATTAATGTGTGTACGGGACCACAGTTTAATTTGTATGTAAATCAGCTGTTTATAAGGAAAAGATTTTATTGTTTTAATCTGGAAACTATTGATTTAAGTTCACCAGTGGGCTGTTCTGCCAGTTTCATGAGTGGTTTTTAATATGAAAATTACTATTGTTTAAATGATTATATTTAGGAGAATTACCACAAAATTCTGTGTATATGTTGTACATAAATATATTCTATCAAGTTCATGTGTTACATTGCATACAAATGAGTTGCACAATGCATACAGTTCTGGCTTAAAACTAATGTATTTGCATTTTAAAAAGACAGAACAGGTTTTTATCTTCACTTCTTGAAAAATGAATGGAATGTGGCAATAATCAAAATGAGTGGAAATGCAGATCAGTTACTTTCAGCTACAAGCCATATTAAATTGATTAAATTTGATTACCCCACAGTCTGCCTGCCAGCGTGTGATTCCATTTCTCTCACGTTTATCTTAAGTTCCACGTATCTTAAAAGTTCTGAGTTTGCATTACAGCTCCTACATTTAGAAAAAGAAAAATGGAGACAAATTATAATGCAATAAGTTATTTCACACAAATTCCCATTTTTGATAACTGAAGAAAATGTGTTCCTCTTATAATTGAGTTTTTAATGTATAATGGAAAACTTTTAATGTTTTAGAAAAGAAATCCAGGAAATAATGATGTTTTACAAAAATACCAGTGTTTTTTCAGTGTTTTTTCAAATTGTACGATAAAGAAATTACAGCACAAACTTAATTACATGGTTATACAGTGATAATGTAGCAGCAATAACATGTTACTATGTAATTACTAATTTTTATAGTGGATTTAATATGTAATTGCTGAAATAGCATTTGAAATCACAGTTAACATGAAATATTTTTTATTTCACTACAAGTTTATATTATTTTCCCATGGGGGGGGACTGTGTATGTGAAAAAAATATTTATGGTTGCCACAATTTATACTTGTGAATAGTAATTGTGTGGATACAATCACTGTTTTGATACCTTATTATCTAGTAGGAGGAGTAGGATACACGGTTTTCTTAACATCAGATCTCAGTGCTACGTGGTAAAGAAGCTGTTTTTCTCAAGTTTGATTTTTTTGGAAGGGGTAGGAGCTACATAAATGTATCCTGACACTTCACCACTATATGTAAGGCAGTTATCCCAAATTAATGTCAATAAATTTTTGTACTGCACTATGTGTCTGTCTGTCTGTCTCCTAGTCTTGTGTATGTACAGCGTATCTACCAGTGGATTTGGAAGAATTACGAGTCTGATCTTATAGTCATTTCCTTTAGAGTAAAAGCCAGAGCGAAGCCATACCTTTGTGAGCAATCATTTCCTTAAAATCCTAGTGGTTATAACTTTTGTTCAGTGCTGTAGGCTCCAGTGTATTACAGTTAATTCTTGTAGATACGCAACAAACCTTTTCATATCTTCTGATTTAAGGCATTTTGATGCTGTAAAGGTGGGAGACTGCTTCTGTTTGACAGCTGGTTCCCAGCAACATGGACCGGCTGAAGAGTGCTACAGACAGTTCAGGAAAACATGCCTCAGTAGCTAGCACCTCTGAGTACAGAAGTATTGAAAATATAACTGGCATATATGAGAGAGAGGAAAAATGTTTAGGCGTGGTTGTGGAGGGAAAAGAATGAGCCAAAGAAGTGTTTGTAACGATCACATAGGATATAGGGTCAAGGGTCTGTTGTAATAGAACACCGATTACAAGGATGCTTCTGGTATTCTTATAGGCATTAAAAGTAAAGGCCTGTGGAGACGAGATGCAATGTTCTGGAAAGACGTATCAAATGTGTACTGAGAAAATGGATGTCACCCATGCTAGGGCAGCCATGTTACAGATTTTTTCCTCAAAACATGATTTAAAATAAGTTTCCCTTTTGAATATCTCTTCATGATTTTTGAGGGAAAATCTGTTGCTACATTTTAAAATGTATTGGGGTCTCTGCTTGTTCTTTCATTTCTGCTGTACTTTCTTAGACTTCCTCCATTCATCCATGTCTTTTACCTGCTTGGTTCTCACGTCTGTCTGCTCCATCTGTGTGTTGCGTGTTTTCCTTCTGTGCAGAGGCCCAACTCCTGTGAGCCTGCTGTGTCTCTAATCTCACTTTGCAGTCTTTGGCAGCTCTCCTAGCTGACTAATTGCTGTGGTGTGCCTATTTAGTTCCTTCAGCTAGACTCATGACACCTGCAACTCAAATGATTTAACCCATACAAGTGTAAAATAGTTTTATTTGTAGGACCCTGACTTCTCTATTTGTCTGTTTCAACTATGCCTAATTTTCTGTTTAAAAAAAAAAAAAAAAAGGCCAAGGCCCTGCTCATGAGATTCAAGGGCTTGGCCACACCTCCTCTTCTGAGGCTTTTGAATTTTTTTTGCCTGTCAGCAGTATTCCTGCCTTACACGTTGCAGTATAAGTTAGGAAAACTCATTCTGGGGCAAGTGACAACAATTTCCCTTCTCTGCTTATGGGACAGATATTTCAAGGGTTGATCAGGGCTGTCCTACTGAACTCTTTTCTCCCAGGTGTTACCCCCTTCCAAATCGTGACAAACACTGGTCAGGTAAAGGTAAAGAGGTTTCTAACTGGAAGCATCAAAGAAAAGCTGTCCCAATTCTTTCCATTCCACAAGCTGCCGCTCAGTCAGAAGCCACCTTATCCCACAACACTAGATCTCCACAAGCAAGCGGAGTCGCTCCTCATCGGCCCATTGAACTCTCAGCTAAACCATCCTCATCCATTAAAAGTATTTTGGAGGTAAATCCCAAGCTTTCCAGCTCCCCTAGTCAAGGCAACCGCTACAAATACATTCCAAGGCTCTGTTCTTGGTTCTTACTGGATATCTTGGTTCTTACTAACTAGCCCATAGGCTATAATGGGGAATCATGAAAATGCCTATAACTTCATCATTTCTTGCCTGATTTGAATGAAAACAGCAGGGATGGTAGCCCCTGCTGAGGCCACAAAGCCTGCCAGGTTTCAAGGAGATAGGTGCAGTGGTTTCTGGGAAACTGCACCTCAAACTGTTCAGAGCAAAACTCATGTCACTCGTAAGTGTGAAGGCACAGAGAAAGCTCAGTTCAAACAATGCTGCTCTTCATGCTGTTTTTCTATCCCTCCCCCAGAGCACTGGGATTGGCAGGGACCTCAGGGAAGAATCACAGTCACTGGCCAGATACACAGTCCATATGAGAGCAGTCCTTCCCCCCTCTTCCCCCTCCCTCTTTAGCTGTGAGCAAGCCCAGCTTCAAAACTCAAAATGTTTTGAAACTTTCAAAATGTTTTGAGTGCCCTCGCTTCGTTTCAAGGCTGTTGTGAAGCCTTTTGTTTCATTTCGATTTCACTGTTTCAAGCTTGAAACAAGTCGAAATACTGTTGAAATTTCGCACAGCCCTAGCAGATATCCAGACTGTCATCCTTCCACAGGGAAATACCTGGACACTAAGGAAACAACTGACAAGAAATGAAACCTATCTCTGAACAAAGACGGTCACAAAGAGCAATTTAAAACCAAAAGAGATATGCGCTGTAGCTCTTCCCATGACCAAGCCAGAAAAACTGGCTTCCCATGACCAAGCTCTGTCCCATAACCAAGCCAGAAAAACTAGGCTGCGTTTATGGGTCCCCTCAACCCACAGATATACTGGAAACGTGTAGGAAAGGAGACTTGGAATAAAACCAGGCTGGGGGAAATGTAAGCATTCACTATTGCAGTGGCTAAGTAAGAGTTTAGGGAGCAGTCAGGCATTTGAAGCATCAAGAATACTCGTGTGAATTTGTAAAGTACTCGAACGTATAATCCCTATGCTGGGGTACTGATGCAACTCCTTCACAGTGTCATGGGTTCCTAGCAGTTCCCATGCAGTCTTTCACTGGTAACCTGAGCCAGGGAGAATATTTTCCTTTCATGAATGCTTTACTGGAATTAGTTTTTTCCTCTTCCTTGAATCATTACAGTGTCCTTAGCTAAGGCTTGTGTTTGACCACACAGTGCTCCTGCCACCCTTAGAAAACAAAGATGTTCCTGGCTTTTTTCCACCATATTTGAGGTCAAGGTGGTTGGTGCAGAGTTGGGGGGGTTTGCCTTCCTCTATAGGTGTGGTCCTCCTCCTTGGATCTTTTAACAGCCTTTGGGGCCTAGGGATGTTGGCTGCAATCCCCTGGGTTTACCTATGGCAGGTTAGCATGTTACATCTTGAGACTGTGTCATGACTGGCTGTGTAGTTTTGCTAAGATGTTAGATAATTGATTTGTCTTTAAGTAGGGATGTTCCTGCCTCATGCAGGGGGTTGAGCTAGATGACCTTTGGAGATCCCTTTTAGCCCTACTTTTCTATGAATCCTGCAGTCACCAATATCAGAATTGCTGTGGATGAGGGACAGTTGAGATGAAGGACGATGATAAGAAGCTCCACACGAGGAGATGAGGCAGATAAAGAATTTTATTTGTAAGACCATCTTTTCATGCCAATGCATTGGCACTACATTCACAGCTGAAGAATCACAGAGCAGCTACATAAGATTTAAAGAACAGGCTGCTTATTTGACTAAAGACATTTGTGCTGCAGGCATATGATTTAAAAGCAAGGCAAAATCAGCTAGGGTAGACATGTAGAAGGAGTGAGATCCACACAGGCAAAGGTTTCAGTGTCTCCAGGGTCTGGATTTTTCAGTGGGAAACTGTAACCCAGTTAGGCAAAGGAGAGAGAAAATTAACTGCAAAAATGCTCTAATTTACCTTGAGAGTTGTGAGGAATTCACAACATGAAGGGAAAAAAGGAGGCAAACCTCACAGCAGCAATTATTCTAGCATGCACCTACCTAGGACTGACTGCTAACGCAGCCCTGTGGAAAGGTGCTTGAAGCCCAAAAGCTTGTTTTCATCTCCTTCAGCTGCCCAAGTTGGTTCAGAAAAAGCTATTAACTCACCTGCCTGGCTTTGCTTCTCCCACATGACTGGACCATCTCAACACCATGTAATAACCTTAAAACACTGGAGACAAGAACTCCTAAAATGAATGAAGCTAAAAATAGCAGAGGGGGATTTCAGAGCAAGGCTGTGATTGTAAGTGCAGCCAGCACTTTTGGCCGCATCTTTGTTTTAAACAACTGGGGACAACCTTCTTGGCAGGCATGCCACAAATTAAGCTTATGCCCTCCCCATGTGCCAGTGGGACCCCCTTGCTCTGCCTTCTGCTCCCTGCCCTGCATTCCCTGTCTGATCAACCACATGCCACACACACAGGCTACCTGTACCACTTGTGGCACACATGCCACAGAATTGCACAATCAAATAAACTACAGCTCAGCTCCATGCTTTTCATTCAGCTTAGCAGTACAGTGCAATCTAGTCAAAAGACGATCCTTACTACACAATCACCTGTCAGCATTCACCGCAAACTATCCCCAGAGGTAATAAATACAATTCTGTTCCATCTGCACTAAACCTACCTCCATTAAGGAAATGATTTTTGTGAGTGCCCTGAGAAAGATGCCCTAGAGATGGCTACATAAGCATCTTACTTTTTTATTAGAAATTCATTTAAATTAGAGCCTGCATTACCAATTTAAAGGCCGCTGTCGCTATCTGGTGCCAGACAGTAAGAACATAGTCTATGGTTGATGTATGGAGATGGGGAAGTCCCACTCAACAGGGTAATTTTTACCTCTCAGTAACAGTTAATCATACTGATGTTTTTAACACGGGGAAAGACAGGCTTTTTAAAGGAAATATGTTACTCGCTTGTTCTACATTTTGGTTAGAGGTTCTTGAGGCAGACTTGAGCGAGAATATGCACATGCAATCAGAGAGTGATTGCCATGGTTCAGCAATTAGTATCTGGTTGGAGCCAATCAGAAGTGGAATATGGCTTATCAGGACATTTTTTACTGTTTTACTCTGGAAAAGAATTAAAATGCAGTGGATTTTGTTACTGTTCAGTATGATCCTCTAGAACAGCGTTTCTCACCCCATGGCTCGCAACCCAAAAGTGAGTCACAACAATATATGAAAGGGTCATGAATAAACTTTAAAAATAGATTCTCCTTTAAAGGGGAAACGTGGGGAACTGTGGCTTTTCCCATGCAGACTGGCAGAGCTCCAGCCTGCCCCAAACACTAGGGGGAAGGGGCCTGGAGTGGGGGCAATGGGTCAGGAGTGAGGGGTACCAGCAGGGC